TTAGCCCGGCTCCGGTCATATGATCGGATATTCCTTCCCTCTTGGCTCAGCGATATAACAACGGAGTTGGTGTTTCGCGAGTGCACGAGTAGGGAAAGCCTTGTCAATAAGTTGCGCGTAGGGGCCGACAACTTCCTCGAAGTATCGAAGGACACCGTGGGGGTCTTCTCCGTATAAACGACTATCGGGAAGGCGAGAACGGTACGGAGCTAGGAGGAGCTGCAGGGCTTCGGGGATACGAGTCAATTCCTCCGTGGTGCGGGGTTCGACAGAATTCTCGTCGCCTTCGATAATAGCAGAAAGATCCATGACGGGAAGGAGTGGTTGGACGAACAGCGGCGGTTCCACGCTCTTTTAAAGGGGAAGGGGACGACAGAGGCAAAAAGAATCCGTGAATATCGCTTAAGGATTCCGGCATCACGAACCGGCAATAACAACTGCCTATTTTGGGAACTCCGTACAGGCGGCTGTCTACGCTACAAGTACGCAACGGGTTCACCCTCCGTGGAGCAGGGAACGGGATCAACGGACGAGGAAACTGCGTCCGGTTCATGGTCGAGGTTCGTGACGCGTACGGAAAGCAGAGGCGATGAAGAAAGAACCCCGCCAGGGGGGGCCATCTGAATTTCGGAAAGCGTGGCGACATATTGAGGGGGAACGTCAGCTAGACGGGCGGCCATGGCGAAAATCGTTTTGTGCGCATGATTGAATACGATTAAAAGATCGTCTTCGGCGCACTCAGCAATAGTGGCGATATCGTCTCCCGCAAAGCCGAAGCGACGAATAAGGCGCATCATGTACAAAAGGCTCGCCACCGACGGGGTCGGCACGCGTTTTCCGACGATGCCGTGTACATCTGGAACAATAGCGCGGTGAATGTACGCCTACGGATTGTCAGGAAGAGTTCATCGGGAGCACTGCCATGGAATAACGACTCACAAGATAACGCATGTACACCGAAGTCTGGTGGCGGATCCACGGGGAATCGCGAGCCGCGGGGGGCGAGCCACGGAATCGATCTCGAACGAGCATGACCTGGTCACGAAGGGGGACGAGAATTTGCTGCGAGAAGTTGGTGACTTCAGGACGGCGCAAATAGCGCACGAGCTCCTCTTCCGTATCAAGATCTATGAAGAAGACCTCAAATTGCGAGCGTGTACGGAAGGAGGCGGGCGCGCCGCGCTGATAATCACGCAACAGGGCGAACCGGAGTGCCATTTCTTGGGCAAAGCAGAGAAGAGGGTATGGGGGAAACAAGCGAGCACAAAGACACGGATTTATATGGCATCAAACTGCCGTACGCAAAGGAGTCACACCAATCGGTTAAACATCAGAAGATTTCAACGATAAACTCTACTCCGTAGGCTCGGCGTCGTTGCCAGAGGCGGTGAACGTGCTGGAACCGTCCATGTTGTACTCAGGAAATTCCTTGAGCTGCGCGGTGGCCGCTCGCATATAGCTGGCTGTGGTATCGAAGGCCTCGAACGCGCGCAGGACCGGGACCTGTAAACCTCCGTGCTGGCCCTCCTCGTCGAGCTCGAACCCGTATTCAGCAAGAAGAATCCGCAGGATGCGAAACATGTTCGAGCTTTCCCCGGGTACGAGCAATTCGTCGGGATGAACACGAGCGCCGTGAGCACGGGCAAGCCTGGCAAAATGAGGCCGCGAAGCATAAATTACCCTCTACGGGGAGGTTCGAATATCAGCACTAGGCCACGGGCTGGAGTACAGAGGCAATCGTACCAGTTGCTCGAGGACGCGACCGAGCGCCGTACGGACTGCTGCACGATCATCCACGGAGAGCGCAGGTAGCGGCACGGAAAGGCGAAATTCCGGATCGACAGCGAGCTGGACAAAGAAGATCTGGGCACGGATGAAGTAGCGAAGTAGGTCTTTCATGGAGTGGCGCGGGCGGTAAAAGCCATCGGCGTGCTTCCAGGAGGGAATTTCGACTCTCGCGCAGTTCGAACGAAGCCGCCTACGGAGATGTTGTCATATGCTAGCAGATGAGTGTCGAGGTCTCTGAGCCAAGAGGGGAGCTCGAAAGACGCTCGATTTATCGACGCCATGGCTTAGGGGGGGGGAAACGCAGATCCATCTATCAAATCCACGGCTCCTTAAGTGGTGGACGGGTGGGCCGGCTCACGAAGCGATCAAACTGGTTCGGTTCGCCGGAAGAGCGCAACGATATTTCAAATTACTACGAAGCGCGACATAACGATGATTACGACGAGGAGGGATCGACCCAGCCGGTATTAGTCGGTCTGCGCATCATGCGCCCGGAGCGTTCAAACTCGGGGTATTCACCACGCGTACCCAACAGCGCGGCCCAGCAGGTGGCCACGCGTTTTAAATGTTCGAGCGCAGCGCTCATATGCACACCGCCTTCGCTATTTTCCCCCTCGAAACCATAAATTTCGACCATATGATCGAGGATTTCGAACTGGCCCATCGATAAATCTGACACCGGTGGTTCTTCCGGGATCAGATGCACCGCGGAGATGCCATCCCACAGGGCAATATAGGATGGATATTCGGGGTCCGTGAGCGAAATCAGGTGCTAAAAGAGTTCGCAAAAAAAAAAAAAAAAAAAAGGAGGGCAGAATTAGGCTCGACTTCCGCACGGAGGAGACGATGAGCATACCACTAGCTCCATCATTTTCCGCAGGGTAGCCTGGACGACACGGGTCGTGGTGTACGGAAATTGAAAGCTGCCATATCTCGTGCGATGGAAGGAAGGATCCAGCGCTTGCTGAAGGACAAATACGGCGGGGCGGAGAACCTGGTGCAGTATGTTGGAAATGGGGATCGGTGGACGCCAGTTCGAGCCAAGGGCGTATTCCGTGTCGCTAATCTCGAGCGGCCGAATGAGTGCGCAGGCTTGCTCCACTTTCACTGCGAGGGCACGCCCTGCAGGGCTCCCAATGACTCTGAGGAGGTCGCTGCGTGGAGAATCGGGCGGAGACGGGGTCTGCGCCATGGACACAAGAATAGCGAAAATCGATGATGGGACGCGACCCGTATTTATGCTCTTAGCGCAAGCGGACAAGCGTACGGAGCACGCGTCTACGGAAACATCCGCGGAGAACACATCATATTAACCGACAAATCGACCGCTAAAGTCCCAGCACAATATCTTCCGGGCTACCAGTAATAAAGGCCGTGAAGTCCTCCACGGGTTCAACAAGGTGCCATGCTCGTGCCAGCAGTATGGCACGGCTCAGATTAAGCGAAACCGCCGAAGGAGCGAGCCGTGTAGAAGACTCGGGCAGATAAACTGCGTGCATTTCGTTAAGCCTATCCAATCCACGGAGGCAGGCGCCACGGAACGCTACGTAGCAACGAAACCCTTCCTGCGCGTTCCCGATATGTTCGTCACTGGGAAAGTGGCCGCCTTCTTCGAGCAGATGAAACTGCGGGAGCTAAACTAAGCACGGACTAGTGCACGGAACAAGAACGGAAGACTCGCCAGAATGCCCATTATATTTGCCAGCGCGTCATGAACAAAGATTAACTCCAGCATGGTCAGTTCATACGGCGCCAGCCAGCCACGATTCGCGGGCCGTAGAGCGCAATCCAGCAGATAAATCGACGGGCGAACGATGCACTCCATGACGTCGTCCAGCTGTTCGCACTCGGGATGTCCTGGGCTAAACCGCACGCCCGTGGCGAGCGAATGTTCAATAATCAACTCGCACGCATCCACAATTCCGTAGAAGTCTGCACTTAGGCGCACGCGGGGGGGCATGGGTAAAGACATAACGCGAGGACATACATGCGACTACGGCGAGCCTTTTATACGGGAAATGTTAAAGTGATCTGAGCGCATGGATCTCAGCTCCGAAGAGGACAGCATCACAATACTCCATTCCGTGGCTTCTCATCCACAGGTTTCTTCATCCGTGCACAAAGTAGGGCAAGGGCTTCCAGGTATAATGCCTGGAGGTCCTCCTTGCAAACAGTCAGCGGTATGGGACCTCGCCGGCGGAGACTGTACCATGTCTGCCAGCAAACCTTCCACACTCTCTCTCTGGACCCCGATTACCTTTCCATCTCTATCCGTTTCGACAACGAGCGCTCCTTCCACGCGAGAAAGCGCCAGCAAAGTGGCTTCGATAACTCGCTGCGCGTCCGTCCAGAGGGGGGTAGTGGCCCTCACGGAAAAATCAAGCACGGGGTTGTCGTTGATAGGAATACGTTTGTAATTCCGTGGGGGCTGCCGAGAAGGAAACACCACCTCGATAGTACGGTGCGGGTCGTACTCCTCGTACTCAAGGAATATTGGGTCCTTGGAGATACGAAAGAGCGCAACGGATTCCGCGCACTCCTTCAAAAAGAACTCCACTTGCGAAATCGCTAGGCCGAATACACTGACTCCGTGGATGTCAGGCGCATTGTCTCCGTCAAAACCAACCGCGTAAAGGAGTACGGAGATCAAGTAAAACATCCACGTCGATTGAGGCGGGGTGTTATGGCGACTGAAGTTGGACCGCAGCTCATTCTGGCGAAGCCGTGCGGCATAATACTGGGAAGCAACAGTTAAACACCATCGCCTGAATATCTGGACAACTTCGCCTACCATGTGGTCTACAATTAGACGTACGCAGACGCGCACTTCATGAAGATCCTTCGTAGTCAGTGAAGGACGCATACGCGTGGCCCAACGGTCCTCCAGCACGGAAATCGCCACAAGGAACACCTTGAACCGGAGGTTGCGATAAAGGAACTCCGCCAGGCCGCCAATCGGGACGTCAAGGCTTTCCGCAGGAAGGGGATGAATTGTAGAATGGAAGCGACCAATGGCAGAGGCATCCATCTTCAGAAAAAGTTCTGATTCTCGACCTACGGATGGGTCATATTTATACGTGGCGCCAACCGGGGACGGTCGGCATTCAAAAGTGGGGAGGAGATGTGAGCTATCACTTTGTGATACGCTCTCTCCGTGGCTGAAAAAGGCAAATACGCACTACGGAGCACGCACAGAAAAAGGTTGCAAAAAACGACCTGACCCCGATTCGAACGAGGGACTCGCAGTGTGAAGAGACTACAATTGCGCGCGTTACCAGTTACGCCACCGGGTCTACACTACAAGACGTCAAAGAAAAGGTGTCGACCCACGGTTGATTCTCTCCTGTGGGGAAAAAGGTACATGGCCTGACCTCGAATCGAACGAGGGTCTCGCAATTGTAATATCGTGGAGAAGTGGAACTCAAGTGCGCGCGTTACCATTACGCCACCAGGCCTACCACTGCAAAAATCCCCAAATCGCCACGGCCCTCACGGAAATTAACAAATTGACATGATGCATACACAGAACACGGAACGGTAAACATCGCCAACGCGGGGGTACTGCACGGAAGTAGCGAAAAGTGTTGCCACGCGGTACATATCAAAGCTACGGAAGGAGGTGCAAGCTACGGAGTACGGAAATTGGGGGCACGGGCAGCAACGTTACAGTCCGTGGGTTAGGTATCTCCTTCAAGCGCACGGGAAAGCATGGAGATCCCCGCCGCGAGGCAAGGAGGGCAGTGTTGAAAGGGGTCCGTGGACGAATGAGGAATAAGGTCGCGCGCGGCGGTCGGAAAGAAATTAGTATAAAAGCAGGGACGTCCGTAGAAGAAATCATCTTATTACCTCCCACTGCTCATACCTAAGCTACTCCCCCTCGATCATACGGGGTGAGAATCTAGTCAAAATACATACTCGCTCAGGTTGCGCCGCCCTCCGTGGGATCAACCAAGGTCAAATTGGGCCGAAGCTTCAATCAAGGAGGCTTGTCCGTAGTACTTCCAGCTCAATAGAACGAGCCAGAAGGAATTATAGAAAACATCGGCGTTGATAGCTCGCGTGGTTGTAGTACGCGCGGCGAAACTTCCAAACGGCCAGCAGCCCAACTTAGCAGCGTGTAACCGTTGGCTTGGGCCTCGAACGCAGATCCGTGCGCGGAGTACCACCCCCATCGTCGCGGAAGGCTTATCCAATTCGATTATAACCACTTCACGATTCATTCTCACCACTTCGCCTCACACACGCCCACGGAATTGACACTCCTTGGCCGTACCACCACAGCGTAGAGAAAAAGCCGGGTTACGAAGGACTACGCTATAACCCGTACACGTTGTATTCAACAGTTCTGAAGATACTGCTTGCCCAACCTATACGAGGCAAGGGGATAAGAAAAGGAACCATATAGCCCAGGCATCTCGACACGGAACGGCGTTCATCTTGCGGAGCGTTGCCCCTTCGCGCAAGTGTAGAAAACCCTCCGATCGAAGCTTTCCTGGAAGGCTAGCCCCCCAACGAGGAAATAAATCCTCGAGGAACCTAGCGAGACTGTTCATTCCGTACGGAAGGAACTGTACCACCACCACCACCTTTTAAAAATACATAAACATTGCGTGTACTACAGTAGCAGACGAATCTCCGCGACAGAGAAATTTCCCTCTAGAGGACGAACTAATTTCGTGCTTTTGCCTGACTATACCACACCCGGTCAGACAACTCACAGAACCGCAGTCCGTATCACAACGCACATGGAAACATTGCCGCCCTTGACCTGCGCCATTTTTTCCTGCTCAAGCTGCTTTCCAAGGTCGTCGAAGAGACCGGACCAGGCCGCATCCCATGAGGGCAATGGCAACAGAGGGCACATTGTCGGGGGAGTCGGGACACGGGGCGGAAGGCGCGGGTGGCGGGCTCCGTCGGGGATGTTCGCCGTCGATCGCGGTGCTACCAGGAACAGGACAAGTTAGCAATGAACAATATTGGGGACAGAAATAGCTTACGCAAGGGCATGAGACTCCGTTTCTTCGGCTTTGAGGCTGAGGCAGCTGCTGTAGTTGACATGTGTAACGGTAAGAAGCAAGAGACGCTCGCAGTAGAAATAAAATTAATGAATAAATACACGTCCCAAAAAGGGAATTTCACGAGAGCGGCGGCGCTAGGCAAGCAAGATATATTGAGTGAATGCAGGTAGGATTTACTTCGCGACGTAGCTAGACAAGATATATCAACATTGGAAAACCGCGACCCGATCGGCATCCAGTTCGTCGTGCTTTGAGAAGAGGTCGAGGCTCCATTTCCACCGACTACCCGGGACACCATCGAACACTTTCTTTACATCCTCCCCGCCCGGTTGCGCGAGAAGGGTTTTCGCCGACTGAAACCCATACGCAGCCCAACGAAACAGGCCACCCGCAGCGTACTGTGTGATGGAGTAGCGAGTTTCGTCGGGCTGGATGGGCGTGTTGCCGTGGTCAAGGCAGCCCGAGGGGATAAGGACGGTGGCGCCGCTGGGGAATTGGAGGATGAGGCGTAGCTGCCTGAGGTAGAGATGTCCGCTGAGGACGTGGTTAAAGTCACCGCCGGAGGTGACTGGGCAGAGACCGTGGACACAGTTGAGCATGTCGCAGTGCTCGAAGCTGACCGCGTCGCCGCAGTTGAGGGTGATTGCGGGGAAGATGGAGTCCCGGAAAGTGTGGGTGAGCTTGGGGTGGTTCTTGAAGAGCGCACGGAGAACTTTGCAGTAATAGCGATAGAGCTTCGGGGCGTACAGGGCCAGACCCACTGCGTGGATTTCAGACGCATGCTGCTGTGTACCGAACATGGACTTACTGGACTGGAAGCCGGCGATGCGCTGGATTGATTTGTTGCGGAGTAGTCGGCGGATAAGACGCCGCATGAAACGTGAGTGGCAAAGATTGCCAGGTTTCTGCAAAACGTCAGCGTGCGGCTCGTCAGGCGGAGGGAAAAACAGACCTTCTGACCACCTCCAAAAGAGACGCCATCCCTCACGGGAAGGTGGGTCCCGCGCCGGTGAACGGTACCGATGCGCCATTCACCAGATCGGATAGCCTCCTTCCGCGCGCGCGCCATCGCGGCAACGGCGTCTTTGATCACCCCAGGCCACTCGTCGTCCTCAGGGGTTCCCAAGAGGATCGCGATGATGCGCCCTTGGTCGTCGACGATGAGCTTAGGATCACTGTAAAAGGATTTAGTAAGAGGACTGGCATGATGTGCATGCACTTACCGCCCATTCCACTCTACCACCTCACCGCCCTCATCTAACAATTCAGGTAGCGTGACGAGCTGATGTGTCGCGTTGGCGCGTTGGCGACCGACCCAAGCACTGGCAGCGGCTGGCGCGTCGGCGAGATCGAAGTGGACTGTGTGGGATTCCTGTTGGCGATGGGCCTGGGAATAGCGAGCGTCAGGGTGCTTGTCGTACGGGGTTTCGCCCGTGTGCTGATGCTGCCGCCGCTGCTTCCGACGGTTGGCGGCCTGTATCTTGCGGCGCGTTTTCTCGATGGAAACGGTGGGTGGTTGAGGGGAGGTAGCGCGTGATGATTGAGGCGATGGTATGGCGGAGGGTGATGTCGAGGAGAGGGGTGTGAGTGGCGATGGTGGTGTGGGTGGCAAGGTGGAGCGGGCGGTGGCCTCATTGTCGTCCTCGTCCACCCAGTCATCGTCGGAGGAATAATTGGCCGCGTCTTGTTCAGCAGCATAGCGGTCCTCATCGGCGACCGCGTCGTGTAAAAGAGCGTTGAGGGAGATATTGGTTCGGATGATTTCAAAAGAGCGTAGTGAGTTTGGCAGATTGAGGAGTTCGTAGGGCGAGAATTGAGCGCCGCTACGCGTCCGTCGCGACATGACGCCAGCCACCGGGGTGGGCCTGCCCTGTGAACACGCGTCAGTTCATGTTTATAAACCAGAAACTTTGTCTCCGTCGAATTCACCCAGTGGCATTCGAACGCACCACCGTAGAGCGCTGCGGTAAGACTCAGTGTATGGTGCGGGTCGAATGCCACTGGGTGAGCTCTACGGAGTTAGAGGAAAATCTTGAGAAACTGACCTTGCGTGGTGGTGACAAGAGAATTCGAAAGAAAAGGGAGTCAGGTCATGGCGGAGGAAGAGCGGTGTCACGAGTGACCGTGATTAAATTTCCTATTCTGGACGAAACTGGCTTCACATCGCCCACTTCGTGTGGGGGCCCTGGTCAACGCTGGGTCGAACTGCAACTTCAGGTCAGTTCCTAACCTGCTCTACTTTGACTGTGCGCAAACAGATCCGAAAAATATTGAACTTGATTATCAGTCCGCACGAAGACAGGACTATAGCAAGTGGCCATGCTCGTCTAGGCCCTATATTTCACCGCTAAAAGGTAGGCCACATCCATTTGCAACATATTCCAGCGTTATTTTACCTCTGAAGCTCAGATCTGCGACGAAATAAGGGATCTGCCGGCAAAAAAATGCATTGTGGAAAATACTCAACGGTGAGTCTGTAAATTTTGGTTTTGCAACCGCGGTTGAGGCTTTCTAACCTTCTAATTTGAATTAGCGTCCGAGAACATTCGGAACCATGGGGTTCAAATATCAAGCACCCGTCATATCACCAATTTCAAGCTCACCTGGATTTTTCACGTGCTCAATGACATTACCAGCGAGCTCAGGACGACGAACCAGGCATTTGGGAGTTTGGTTTCACGGGAAAAGGGATTGTGGAAGGAGAGGAGGCCCAAATGTGTGTTGGCGCAGACGACAAACACACAACATCATACCTACACTCTCTTCTCACCTTTACCACCAGAAACCTTCAATGACCAAGAAAGTCTTGAATTCGCGAAATCGTCCTCCCAAGGACTCCGATACTTATCGCCCAGGGTCTGTTTGACTCTTCTATGCTCAAGCTCGTCTTACTGACCTTGACGTTAGCCTGAGTAGGGCGGAAAAGGCACGAAACCACAGAAAGGCTCAAAGGTCTTATATTGAGCGGTAAGTACGATGACGGTACCACTACTTAGGATTTTATTAATGTAGCGATGGGCAGTAACCCACTGGCACGCAAGAAACACCGAGTGAGGATGGCTGCAAGCCGGTATGTGTCAATTACGAGGGGATCAGGCGGGGCACTGATCTTTCAAAGGGAGGAAAAGAAAGCGTTGAAGCGTCGCTGGGATAAACCTAGGGTTCAGCGCCGTTTATCGACGCCTTCGTGGGCTGACCCAGGACTCCCCTCCCGGTCGGAAATGCGCACAGAGCCTGTGGCAGACCGAGCCACGGTTTACTCGCGAAACTCTCGG